AAAACCATAAAGCACTCAGTTCACCTGCTTTTTAAATTAAGAACAAGGAGCTCTCCACAAGTACAACAAATTTTTTAGAAGCCCTTCGGTTTCATATTATGCACAGTTAAAGAGGTGGAGGTGGGATGAGAAGGAACAATATGAGTAGAGAGAGACAGTGAAAACCAGACAGGAGATGTTGAAGGGACTAGAAGAGATACATGGAGTGGAAACTTCAAATATCTGGTCATGGAAGCGAGAGATTGAATTAGGCAAATGGGACAGACAGATGACAGTTGTAGAGTATAATCTCTGTTTATTGAAGTGCATCATTGAGGGGAGAAGCTGTTCCCAGCTCTTCTGTGGCTCATATCCAGAAGTCTGTCCAGCAGTAATTCTCAACGAGGGATGTGTATCAGAGTCACCCAAGGACCTTTGCAGAAAGTCTACGTGCCCTGTGCTATGTGGCAGTCTACCTGCCCCAAATCCATTCAGCTGTCCCTGTGTTCAGGTCTCTCGGCTTAAAGGAAAAATGGTGGCATCTTTTTAAATGAGAACTATATAGGATTTGCAGGCTTAGAAAGGATATCTCCAGAGAAAAGAGTGTTTTCCATCCAGACAGCATGTTAAAAGCAATCCCAAACACATAACAGAATGCCTCTTTAATAATGTATATGTTATGGTTTGAGAATAAACCATTTTTGGTGCTTGAAGTAGAAATGATCAAGCTTTTAATTAAAAACTTGTCTTTGCAGTGCTGGGGATGGAACCCAAGCCTCATGCATGCTAGGCAAATACTCTGTCCAGCCCCGAAATACTCAGTTTTTAAACAAAAATTTTAGTTTCCTAAATTCTCAGAGATTCTTAGAGAACATAGAGCTATGATTGCATTTTAAATGCACCAAGACACTTTGAAGACTCTTTTCCTTGTACATCTTGTGGCCCCAACCTAGATATGGCACGGAAGCCCCAGTTTCCTAAGTGTAACTTGGCCTTTAATTCAGAAGTATTGTGGACTGTACGGGTCTCAGAGCTTGTGGCAAAAAATGTCAAATTACATTTTCAAGTAATTGTTTTTATAAATCCAGACAGAGTAAATGGTGTGTTTGAGGCTATGTGGTACAGAGTAGAATGTTGGAGTGTGAGCACTGCACTGAGAGGAGGATGACTTTGCCAGCAGAAACATTAGCCAAGTATCTCCCCTGTAGGTTTCTCCCCTAAACTGCGTCTTCTTGGAAAGATTTTTCGCTCTGAGCTGAAAGTATGGTGTTTTCTTTTTTGGTAGGTATTGCCAAAACAAAGACATATTCCAGTGTTCAAGTATAAGCAAGTCCCCATATGGTCCTGCTGAGGGCTTTGGTGGATTTGAGACGGGCGGAGTGCGCAGGCCACACGGGGCCTTTCATGAATGCCAGGGTAAACGGTGCTGTCTGCTTTCAGCAGGTTACCAGTAAGACTTTTATTGCTGTTACCCATTTTTAAAGGGTGTGTCCTTAGTGTCAAATTCCTGTGGGTAACTTTAAACCTTTCAACATCTAGCACCTTCTTCAGTGGAGAAAATGATTCTTTCCTGCTGTTTCTCAGTATTTTTCTGGTTTCAGGTGTGTTTGTTCTCACACTCCTACACACTGAAGATGAGGAAAAGGGTCTTTTTCCTTGAATTTAGGAGCCTATTTTGAGCCAGGCATGGAGGTACACACCTGTAATCCCAGCAGCTGGGAGGCTAAGACAGGAAGATTGTCAGTTCAAGGCCAGCTGTGGCTACATAGCAAAATTTTATCTCAAAAAAAAAAAAACAACCCTATTTTGATAGCAATCTAATAGCAAACCTTGTTAAGATTAGGTAAACAAAGATGATTTTTTTTAAACTTGTGAATTGTTTTACTTTGGAAATTCAGGGTGTATCACAATGGAGTCTTTGTAGAGGCTTAAAAAACAGCCTGTCTTGTGGTAAAGGTAGCCTGTCACAATCTTAAAGTGTCTGCTCCCATATTGGGAAGTAATTCACTTCATTTGCCCTGTGCATGTCTAGTTCTTCTCCTGAGTATTCTAGTTAACATCCTGTGTGGCATATATGAGTGTGATGTGCGTTATTTAATACAGGTACAGCACTGTCACTTGGGGTCCTTTGCACTGTTTCATGTGCTAGCACATTTGTGGTGAGACTGCAGTTTGTATGTCTTGCTGCTGGGTGACTCTAAACCACTGATACATACATAACTGTGCCATTGGATGGCATGGAATGGCCATACATGTATCACCAGTGCTTCCAACTGGCCAAGAACACGTTAAGACTGCAGTGGGGGAAACCCTGAACTCTAAACTTGGGAAACAGTGGAGTGTCTCCCTGTTAATTGTGTGTCCAAGGACTAAAAGCTTGCTGTGAATTTAAGCCAGTAAGAAGGGACTTTTATTTTTGGTTATAACAAAGATGTTTCCATAAAATGGAGATTTAGCAATACTTCTTTCACTAATGAGACTTGAGATATTCTGCAACCTCACAGCTCTAAACTCTATTAAATGATCCTTTTTTAATTTTTTAAAAAATTTTATTTTGGGGGCTGGGAATTTAGCTTAGCGGCATAAGCGCCTGCCTTGCAAGCAGGCAGTCGTGAGTTTGATCCCTGGTACCAATGAAAACGAAAAAGACAAATAAAATTTTTTTTTTTAAAAATTTATTTTGAAAATAGTAAAAAATGGAACAGCACAAGACAGAACAAAGCCAATTGAGGCAATGCAGTGAAATTGGTACCGGATTTCACAGTAGGATACTGGGATAGTAGTAATAGGTACTATGGTATATCTCTTTAACTTCACAATAGTTGTCCAGTCAATTAGGTATAGCAAAATCAAACCAAAAATAGAACATTATAAAACCAATTGAGAGTACTGAATAGAGCAAAAGAAACAAAACAAAACAGTGAAAACAACCTTTGCCTTCAAACAGAAGATAGAAGGAGATCCCCCATATCTGCTATACTGCATATGGTCATCCTCCCAAGAGATGCTGAGACATCTATCCCCAGTGGCTATGTGGGGAGGGCGCAGGGGAAGGGTGCTTGATTTTTAGCCCGCGTGGCAGTAGGCTCACAGGTAATGGTTACCAAGAGGATGGGTGAATAAGCTGCCTGAGTCCCAGCATGGCCGGATCTCGGGAGTTCTGGTTCTCCTCTGGGCCCACACTGCAGGCTCTTACCAAGAGGGCGGGTGAATCAATGATCCTTTTTTAAAATATTTTTTTGAGGTGCATAGTACAATTATCTGTTGACCAGGATTTTCAGAAATGTTTAAAGAAGGCGATTTCTGGGTGGGAAAATTCATTGAAGATTGTCCTTGAATAGTGCATGTCTCTTGTTTCTAGCAATAATATTCTCCCTACTTTTTAATTACCAAGAAGGGAGAATAATCAGGAACATACATGATTATGGAATTACTTACATATGTATGATTGATGCTAGTTATAGTTAAGCTGTCAACTTAATTTGATGTGAAATACTCTGCCCCAAAGCTCCTTTGGTATCTATGTTAGGCTGTAAGCCCACAAAGCTAAGCAGTGGCTATGTACCACTCATGGTCCACCTCATTTCCCATGGTGCGTATTCTTAGGAAGACTTGCTTTTCATTCTCTAGCCTTTTGTTTGCTGAACACATTTACCATTGCCAGGTCCACATATCTCCCACGTACTCATTCTTGAGATTTTATTTTTGAGTCAGAATCTTAACTATGTTGCCTAAGTGCTCCCAAATTTCTTGGAGTCAAGTGACTTTTTTGCCTCAGCCTTTTAGGTGGCTGGGATCACAGGTACCCACCACTGTGCATCAGGTTTACATTCCTGAAATTGTGGCTGTTTTCAGACCTGTTTTGCCTTGCATGGAACACAGACAACAATAACAGAAGCAACAATGAAAGTTAATCTTTGTAGACATATGTACAGAGTGATACCAAACCAATTGACCTTGAAACGACTAGAGGGTTAGTACCTAGTGAAGTTTATTTCTGAGCAACACCACATTTCTTGGGGATTGTGAGGAGAAAGGTATCTCATCAGACACAATTTTTGTCCTTTGACAAAGGAATAAAGAACACCTCCAAACCATTGCCCTTGAAGAGCCTAGTTAATGTAAGGGAGGAAGCTACGTAATGGGTTGAGCTGCTCTCAAGGAGGAGGAATGTCTGACATTTCCCTTTACTCTTAGGGCAACATTGCTAAGTGAAGATTACATTTATTAAGAGCCATTAGACTCTGTTGGGGTGAGTGGCTATACTACACAGAATCATAAGGTAGAAATAGTCTCCGACATCTGCACAGTAAATGCTGGGCAGAAAAATCTTAAAATTGAGGATTGTCTCCTGTTACCTCTTTGTGATTTATCGTAGACTCAGATTATGCAGCATGATTTCTTCTGATTTTCTCTGTGCTCACAACTTCCAGTTTCACTTATGTGTTTGTTTAGCCTTTTTTATTATCACATATTTTATAAATGATTCTTGCTTAAGGATACAGTTCCAAGTTCAGAAAAAAAAAAAACCCCTCTTGTTTGTGTGACTCACCTGTTTATCATAAAATCTTAGAAAATTTATAAAAGAGACTTCAGTTGATACCGAATGCTACTCTTTATTGACCATATTGGTATTTTTCCTTAGAGTTTAGCTATTTCCATAATGGGAAGATTTGTTTGTCTTTTGCAGTGGGCTTTATTATTTTTATAAGAAAGGGTTTTAAAAAATTTTTTTGTTTTGTTTTGTTTTTTGATACTGAGGCTCAAACTCACGATTTGGTGTTTGCCAAACCGGCACTTAGGCTGCTGAGCTAAACCGCGGCCCCTATTAGGAGGGAATAAATAGTTTTAGGGATCATGAAACCTTTTCAGTACACCTAATGACTGGGCCTGTGCTGAGTCCGTATAGTCTGGAAAGAGGCAGAGTAAAGAAGCAGAATGTGTATACCTAAATCAAACCCTTCCCTCTTTTGTTTGATGGATGATGATAGAGATTGACTGTCTTACTTTTTATTTTCCAGGTGATCATTTGAAGATCTGTCCCCGGGGTTATACCTGCTGCTCTGAAGAGATGGAGGAGAAGTACAGCCTGCAAAGTAAAGATGATTTCAAAAGTGTGGTCACTGAACAGTGCAATCACTTGCAAGCCGTCTTTGCTTCCCGTTACAAGAAGTTTGATGGTATGTTATTCAAGTCACATTTAAGAGCTGACAGTGGAATTTGTATGATTGTTTTTTCAGAGTTCCTCTGTTCCTTTAGTGTTTAAGCTTCCTCCCAAGATACTCTTTTTGTTGGCTACCAAGAGTAAGTTGGCCCTGCAGCTTTATTGCTAGAGTTGTTTTAGATGTTCTGGAATTTGAAATAGTAGGCATTATGGTCTTAAGGAGCCAAAAAATACATTGGTTTAATTTAAATACTTTATTTTCCTGGGTGAACATAGTGTCACCACACTGTTGACACAAGACACTTTGTAAGAAAGGACTTATTAATAAAAAGCAGGCATCTGAGAATTGTCCTAGTCAAAATAGCCACAAAGACTTTGCAGATGCTAGACTTCAAATAAAATTTCAAAATGGACCCTCAGAGAAAACTAAAATTCCTAGAAACTCTTCAGGACGCAGAATGGATTAAAGCTCAGCTCTTGGGTGTCCATGTGGTAGCAACCCATAAGTGGCTAATGTACTGTAATCTTTATTAGTTTGGATGTTCTCCCCCACCTCACTTTTATCTGAGGTCTAGTGTGGTCTTGTGGAAAGCCACAACAGGACACCTTCTAATCCGTGTCAGACGTGACTTCTCACGTGCACACTTTCCTTCACTAGTGAATAAATAGCCAATATGAGCCAAATGATAGATACTTCTGTCCTATTTGAAGCAGCATTATAGATAACAGGCTTTTAAAAATAGAATATGAGGTCCAAAACACCTCAGGATTCTTTTCTTTGGTGCTGTTCACTCAGTATGAAGATTGTTGTGAAGTAGATTTAATTTTAATAGGAATGATTTCCTTTTGTGCCTGTTTTAAAGGCTGTTCTAATTACATAGTACCTTTGAAGCATGCTTTTCTTGACGGTATGTGTGGTGCAGAAGTACAAGGCAAATTTTCTAGATGTGAAATGTCTTTGAGTATTTCTGCAAAGGGCCCGTTACCATGGTGAGAAGTTAGACTAAATTAGATTTGATATAGCTGATAAGACAGTCCCTAGCTATAGAACAGGTTGTATTTCAAATGTTGGCTTTGAGATTTGTTATTTGAAACTTACAGCTGACTTAATAAGTGTTGGTTAGATTTCCAGGCTAGACCATGACAGCATATTAAATTCATATCGTAGTTGAACTGAAATACTGTCTATACATCTTAGTATGTATCATTGACCATTTTCATTGTTTCAAACACTTTGTGCAAAAATATGTTTGGTATTAATTCTGTCATTCCCTGGGTGGGTGGGATTACATTTATATACATGTGGATTGGTCAGTTTTCCCATCACTGGAACAAACTACTTGATACCCATAATAACTTAAAGGAGGAAATGGTTGTTTGGCTCAGGTTGTATCAATTTTAGTCTATATTTGACTGTTTTCATTTCTGTGGCTCTAAGGTGAGACAGAAAATCATAGCAAAAGGGAATGGTGGAGCAAAGCTGACTGCTTCATGGCGCCTGGCAGGCAGAACCCCCCTACAGGGAAGTGTGTCAGAAAGGGAAGGGACCAGAGAGCAGATAGATGCAGCACCCAAGATCTTACCACTCTGACCCAGCCAGATACACCTAAGAATACTAATCCCCTAGGTGGCTCTCAAGCCAATCAAGTTGATAGTCCAGCTTAACTGTCATGGTCTTGTATATGTATGTATATAAGCCTTCTTACTAATTGAAACTCTGTACATACATACTGCATCTGAGAGAGTGACGATGTGTTAATACCATGTTTAATTGGGTTTTATTGGCAAAATACATTACTAGATCACCTCTGTCTCTCTTGATCACTAAGTTATTGTTATTACTATTTAAAAGATACTCTATTGATTATGCCATTTCTCGTTCAAGATAATAAATTGTTTATTTTGGAGAGAAAAACAATTAGATGGTCATCTTTGAAATTTTGTAGATGCTGCTATTTAAAAATTATCACATGGAGGCTTCATGATGAAATTCCAAAGGAGACAACAATCATGCTCTTTAGAAATGGCTCTCCTTTTATCAGCATGACATAGTGGAGATGAAGCTGTTTCCAGGGTCTAAGGCCATCTTCTCCAGGTCACTCCATTTTTTTCTTTTGTCAGATGCAACTCTTTCCGGAGTGCCGTCCGTGGGCTTGCTGACTTAGCGGTTCACTCCTCATGGGTTTTATTGCATTATTTCTATGATTCCAGTGTGTACTGTTTTTAGAAAGCCTTACAGAGGCACTTTATCAGTAAGTGTTAACATATATGTTACTAAGGACAGCGCTATAGTTTGTCTTGACCCTTCCTTACCAGACATCACATTCAACAAATATATTAAAATTGTTCCTTTCTGTTTTAAAACTTATGAAAAAAAATGGTTATGAAACTCGAGTTTGTTTCTTCCATGTTCAAATAAAAGTAATGGCATAGACAAATTTAATTAACATTGATTAATTTTCTTTGAAAGGGTAATAACTGAAATATGTCCTATCTGGAGATCAGAACAGAGCTGGAGTACTTTGTATACTTTTTCTAAGTTAGTTTTTTGTTTGTTGTTTATTTTTCCTTGTTGTTGTGACACTGCAGTTTGAACCCAAGGGCACCATTCCACCAAGCTCCGTTTCCAGCCCTTTTTTGTTTTTTGTTTTGAGATAACTCTTGCTGTGTTGCCCAGTATGGTTTTAAACTTCTGATTTTCCTGCCTCCGCCTCTCAAATAGCTGGTTTATAAGTGTGTGCCGTCACGTCCAGTTCTAAATTAGGTTTTCTGAATGGTGAAACTATATGAGTAAATAGAAAAACCTGAGTTGACTGGCCCCTGCCAACCGTAATCCTCTCATGGGTGCTGTATTGATTCGCTGATTGATTTTTATTTTTTAACACCAAGTATATTTATTAGAAAAGAAGAAAGTTATGAAATATCCTTGTATTTTTCCTTAAGAAATTAGAAATAAAACCAAAAACAAATACAAGAAAATAATAAAGATCAGAAAACACAATCTCTTATCAAAATGCCAGCATCATTTTTCATGAAAACTAACACTTTGATTCTTACATTTCTGTAGAAATATAAAAGACTCAGAATAGTCTAAACAACTTTGAAGAAACAAAATTAGACCTCCAACTCTCCCAAATCCCATGACTTAATCATAAAGTTACACCAATCATGCCAAACGGCATTGATATCAAGATAGCCAAACCACCGAAGTACCATATGAAGTCCCAAAATAGGTACCCACATTATGGACAATTGACTTCTGGTAAAGATGCAAAAACGGTAAAGTGGAGAAAGGATTGTACTTTAATAAACTCCTGATTTTTAAAGTTGAGTGTTAGTACCTGCAAGACTTCTCAAGGCCTAGAGATTCAGAGATGTTAAGTAAAATGCTTTTGGGAGTATCTTGATTCTCAGAAATCTAGAGGTGGTTGCTTCCATTGAAGAATTGTCTAAACTATTATAGAAAACAAGCCCTGGGTCTTTGATGTGAATGGAAGAGGGGAAATTGGGCCAAGTATTAAGACAGTGACTGGGGAGCCAAGATAGATCAAGACAGTTGCACCAAGACAGCTGGGGACACTTTTTTGAGGAAATAGCAAAAGGATACATGAGAGCATACTGGATCAGGCTGCTTCCAGGTGCTTCTATGGCCATCTTCAAACCTAATTTGAACATTTTGACCCTGAGTGCATGTAACTTTGTGTATCATCAAAACTTACCTATCTATGTATGAGGTGCCACTTCTTTGTAAGACAGGAACAGCTACTTTTATAAACCTCTTACTAAAAGTTTGGGGGCTCCTATAGAGGTGGCCTTCTGTGCCAGCTATCACCTCGTTTTCTCGCTTTCCCTTCATTCCTTAATTGACACCATATCAGGGTTCCAGCACCAGCTTTGGCAGTTTTGGAGTCATTAGATTTAAGAAATGAATCCCTTCTCTAGTTCCTTTATCTTTAGGAGCATTTTTGATTCTTTACAGTGTATAATCCAGTTTCTAAATTATAAATCAATGTTTGTAATATAGACCTGAGTGAAGTATAAAGAAGACATTTCCTTTGGCAGCATTACCTTGAGCAAAATCCTCAGGTTTTCTGTGTTGTTAAATGTGTTTTAAGGCTAGCTTCTATGTTTTTCTGTACTGTAATGTTTTCTACCCAAGTGTTCAATTTAGCACATTCCTAGGCTGCAGAGACACCCAGCCAGAGCTTGATAGTGATAGAGCTAGTTGCTCCCCCTCTTGGCCAGTTCTGGGAATGTTTTTCATAGTAGATGTGCTAATTAACATAGCCAAATTAGTTGTCTTATGAATATGCTAATCAAGTACTCTGTTCTGGAGGGTTGGAGAAGAATTGGCTTGTCAAAAGGAATGGAAATAGAAGTAAGGAATAATCCATGTTTTGGGAACACAGCGTAAAGACCCACCCCAAAATGTCTGGCATTTTGAGTTCAATTGTTTTTAAAAGAAGCACAGTTAAACGAAAAACCCAAATAGGCTGAGACGACTAGAGCTACTATGTTAAATATGTCTCTGAATTTCGTAGTAAAAATAATGTAGCAGCATGCAGAAATATTGCTAACCAACTCCCCAAATCAAATTATTTGCTAGATATTTTGCATGTTAAAAGAAATGTTAAGGAAATAAAGATATTCTCTGATGCTGATCATTGGAAACACTTTTCAACTTCTTGTTTTGGGAAGTAAATTTTAGTAAGTTTGGATAGGAGGCAGAGCACAGCGAATTGTCAGCCTGCTTCTACAGTGACCCGTCTATGACCTGGGACATTTAACTGGGTCTCAGTTTTCCCTTCTATAAAATGAGGGGGTTGAATTAGATATTCTCTAAAAACCCTTTCAATTCTACAAATTCTGTGAATCTTTTAAACATGTGCGTAGACCAGCTGCTTTAGTGAAAGGTCTTACAAGATGTTAATTAGCCATCTGTATGGTACCCTCTATTTTCCCCCTATCATTTCGGAACCCTCAGCTACTTGTACCAGGTCTTTGAAAACCCGCCCA